CCCCGGGCGGGAAAACACCATGGCACTGAAGGACGGATGAGCCAGGAAAAAGTGACCAAAAACTGCCTAACGTGTCGTCTGAAACTGCTCTATAAACAAGGCTAGCCCGGTACCTGCTTCTTGACTGCTGGCTACTCTGCTGCTGGCTGCTAGCTGCTCCTGCCGCTGGCTGCTGCAAAAACGTAGGTCCCGGACGGGAAAACACCATGGCACTGAAGGACGGATGAGCCAGGAAAAAGTGACCAAAAACTGCCTAACGTGTCGTCTGAAACTGCTCTATAAACAAGGCTAGCCCGGTAGCTGCTTCTTGACTGCTGGCTACTCTGCTGCTGGCTGCTAGCTGCTCCTGCCGCTGGCTGCTGCAAAAACGTAGGTCCCGGACGGGAAAACACCATGGCACTGAAGGACGGATGAGCCAGGAAAAAGTGACCAAAAACTGCCTAACGTGTCGTCTGAAACTGCTCTATAAACAAGGCTAGCCCCCGGATGCTGAGTCCTGGCTGCTGATTGCATGTGGCAGGGTCGAATCAGGGAGCTTTGCTGCTGTCTCAAGGGCAGGTGAGCCAGGTGGGTCACCCACGTTCCTAGCATCTAAGGCTGACGAGCTGCAAGAGCACTGCCAAGATCTACCAGAGAAGATGATGATGCTACCTGCTTCTTGACTGCTGGCCCTGCTGGCTACTCGCTGCTGCTGGCTGCTACCTAGAGAATCCTAAATCCTAGAGAATCTCTTCGGGAATCCTAGACTACGAAAACGCGGGCCCCGGACTGCGAAACATCATATTGCAGCTGCTGCCTGCCTGCTGCTTACCCTTATAAGTACAAGCTGCATGGCTTTGTGACTGCCTGCTGCTGCCTACTGCTGCCTACTGCTGCCTGCTGCTGCCTGCTGCTGCTGTTGCTGCTGCTGCTGTTGCAAGCTTCCAAATGGTCGGCGGAAAATGTCTTATTCCCTGGCGCGCTCCCCCTTGCATCGGCCGGGGTCGGCGGATTAGCTACCCCTGCTGTGTCACAAACTCTTTTTCCTTTTCGCGCTCCCCCTTGCGCAGCCGGGGTCGGCGGACTATTTGGGGCGGGTG